ATTCTAGTCCTGCAGTCTCTATACATTTCAAGTGTTTACCTTACACTGTTCTTGGCAGTTATCTGCTTGCACAGTAAACCAACTCAACTGGCTAAAACAGCGAAAGATTTACCTCCCCAAAATTTTAAAGAGCAGTTCTCAGCAGCACAGCAAATTGTCCTGTTTTCAGCTGGGATGGAGTTAATTTTCTTAGTAGCTGGTACAGTGCTTTGTTGTGGATTTGGTATGAGAATAATGCTGATAACACACTGATGTTTTAGTTGTGGTTAAGCAGAGCTTACCCCGGCGATCAAGGACTTTTCAGCTTCCTGTGCTCTGCCAGTGAGGAAGGACACAAGAAAATAGGAGGGAGCACAGCCAGGACAGCTGACCTGAACTGGCCTAAGGGATATTCCGTATCATTGAACATCCTACTCAGTATATATACTGGGGGGAGACATGGGCGTGAGCCACCAATCTCTGCTCAGGGATGGCCTGGGCATTGGTCACTGGGTGGTGACCAACTGCATTGTGCACCACTTGTATCTCTTGGGTTTTATTTCTCTCTCTCTCATCTTTTCATTAAAATTATTATTATCATTAGTATTATTAGTATATTTTACTTTTCCAATTATTTAACTCTATTTATCTCAACTCTCAAGTTTTTACTTTTTTTCCCCTGACCTCCTCCTCATCCCATCGGGGGTGGCAGGGAGTGAGAAAGTAGCTGTGTGGTACTTAGCTCTCAGCTAGGGTTAAACCACAACACAAGTTGAGCTGTCCTACTGTGTAATCAGACAAGAGCTGAAGATCAAAAGGAAGGTGAGTGCCCCCAAGAACAAGACCTCTCCCTTTCAACAGCAAGCCATCTATTTTCTCACCAACAGGAGAGTCTTTCCTTCCTAGGAAAATTCATTCAAGTTTAGCCAAACCAAGAAATTCTGGAGGAAAAGGAAAAAATAATATATACTTTAGCAGTCTATGTGCAACTCAGGATGCAGTTCCATGAGAGGAAGGCAGGTGTGAGCTGTCAGGTTGACCCACTAAGTGAAGACCATCTTCCAGCTCCTCTTTCCTGTGCCCTAAGCCATGCAGACCTGTTGCTCACCCCTGGGCAGTGCAGGTTGTTGGAATCCTGTAAGCCACTTCAGCTCCCTTACACAGCAAAAAAACTGGACTGGCAAAAAGTTGGATAGTTTCCTGCCATGTTAATAAGCTCAAAAACGGATTTAACGAGCAACACAGCTGGGTCAATGCAGAGGACAGGAACACATTGCCCAGGGGAAGACAGGAATGAAACCTCTCTCTCCCAGCAGCAGGGAATTACACTGCCTCAGCTGGTCACAGAACCATGGCCTTAGATTAGCTGTTTCTCATTGGAGGAGATTTACCTAAATGCTCCAATTTTTCATAAAAGTATAT